AGAAACCCAAACTAGGTCAGCATTAGGCTAGATTGGTGAACTAGCAACACTAGGCTAGGTCAGCATCAGGCTAGGTTGGTGAACTAGAAACACTAGGCTAGGTCAGCGTCAGTCTAGGTTGGTGAACTAAAAACACTAGGCTAAGTCAGCGTCAGGCTAGGTTGATGAATTAGAAACACTAGGCTTGGTCAGCATCAGGCTAGGTTGGTAAACTAGAAACACTAGGCTAGGTTGGTGAACTAAAAACACTAGGCTAGGTCAGCGTCAGGCTAGGTTGGTGAACTAGAAACACTAGGCTAGGTGAGCATCAGGCTAGGTTGGTGAACTAGAAACACCAGACTACCTCAGTGTTATGTTAGCTAAGTATACTAGCAAAAGCAGAGTAGTTCAATGTAAGTATAGATCAGTGTACTAGATTTAAACAAGTTTGAAACAGAAACTTCTATAAACAAGCAACTTTCAGATATTAAATCAGTTTTTCACCTTGGAAACAAAAGAAAAGTTACTCTTGTTTATCTTAAAATCCATTCTTTAATCTTGATGAATTTCCTAAGATTGCAATATTTCACTCCAGAAGAAAGCAAAAACTTTGTTATGGAAAAAAAAACAACAATAAAAAAGTGGATGACGTTAGCAAAGTAGATTATAGAATACAGTCTCATTACTGGAGACAACGAACTGTTGGATGGAACCATTGAAGTTCATTAATGTAATAACTGGCCATTTGATCTTGACTTATGGTTGGTTCCATTATCACTAATGTTTTCCTTCAAAACTGCAGTCTTTGCCATTCACATATCTTCGTCTTTAATAAATGATATATATATGTTCTACTGTTTTCTGAATTTAAGGTTCACTTACGTATTATCAATGTCATCAGTTGACATTCATCTGTATAGAATCTGCCTTAAGCTCATTCAAAATTCACCTACGTCACAATATTTGTCTTTGTTTTTATAATTCATTCACATTTCCTCAATATTTGTAAGTTGAAAGATACCCCAGAGTATCTCAGAAAAGACGAATCAACTTAGTATTATCAGTTATTGTTAAAATTTAGTTCAGTTAGGCTTCTCCACAACGTTCAACATATGACATTAAGTAAACAAAGAAATCTCCTCTTCACCATTCAGTACTTGACATGGAGTAAAACAAAGGCATCTCCTCTACATTATTCAACATTTGGCATGGAGTGGACAACGACATCATCTCTACACTGCTCAACACTTGACATGGAGTAGACAAAGACATCACCTATAGACTGTTCAACACTTGATAGGAAGTAGACAAAGACTTCACCTCTACACTGTTCAACACTTGATACGAAGTCTACAAATACATCACTTCTACACTGTTCAACAGTTGACACAAAGTAGACAAAGACATCACCTCTATATTGTTCAACACTTGACATGGAGTAGACAAAGACATCACCTCTGCACTGTTTAAACATTGAAATGGAGTACACAAAGAAATTTCTTTGACTGAGAAACTGAATCAAAATGTCATTGAATAGTTATGATTATTGTTTGTTAAATGCTAATAGAAATTGACTTGTGGTAAGGTATTGTTTGAAGATTCTAATATTAACTAGCTTCAGTCTTCAAACGAATTGAGTGTGTATTGCTTATTTCCTTTACAGTGCAATCTATGGTCGGCAGTATATTCTACAAGACAAAAGTGAGGTAAGAATAAATGTAACTTTACAATGAGACCATAAAAATTCAACTTCACGATAACCCAAGTGATTTCCTTTGTCATAGATAATAGCAATTTGTCCTTGTGAAAGTCCACCTTTAATAATGGCAGTTTATCCCTGATAAACATCCACCTTTAATAATGGCAATTTGTCCCTGCTTAAAATCCACCTCTAATAATGGCAGTTTATCCCTGATTAAAGTCCACCTTTAATAATGGCAATTTGTCCCTGATGAAAGTCCATCTTGAATAATGGCAGTTTTATTAATGGCAGTTTGTCCCTGATGAAAGTTCACCTTTAATAATGGTAATTTATCCCTGATGAAAGTCCATCTTGAATAATGGCAGTTTATCCCTGATTAAAGTCCACCTTTAATAATGGTAATTTATCCTTGCTTAAAATCAACCTTTAATAATGGCAATTTATCCCTGATGAAAGTCCACCTTTAATAAAGCGCTCGGGTTATTGATTATTATTTTATAAATCTGACGTTTTTATGTTTATCTGTTGATCTTTTGAATATCATATATAGTTAAACACACATCACTCTTTACTCTCTCAATACATCTAGTTTCTACATTTATAGGACAGTATGTTCATATTCTTTTAACGTGATTGTACACCAGTTTCTTAAGGAACAAAAGTTAACAGATAGAGCCACGTACATCAGCTATTATTTTGCCTTTTTAATAGTGAAGTTATTAAATTAGTATTTATCTGCTACAAACTAGATGCTGGAGTTTCTTTCCTAAACTAAAGATATAGTATAGCACACCAGGTGTATTTGATGTTATCTAATTATGAATTAATAGTTCTGTTTTAATGGCCAAACTTTTACGTTTGACGAGAATAAATAGATAAGTTATGAAAGGGTCAGACAAACGCTAGTTTTTCTGACCTTCTTAATTTAGCTTGATTTACTTTCTTGTATTGTTTTTGGTATTTCTAGATCAGGGAAGTCAGACAAGAAGATTACGACGTTGTTTTCTGGTTTCTAATTGCAATTGTCATAATTCTGCTGTTACTGCTCCTCTTGTTGTTGATTTACTGCTGCTGCTGCTATAGAGGGCGAGTGTGGTAAGATAACATTCACATTCTGTAAATAATTTTATTTCTCTGCAATTAATAATACCTTATTTTTATTTATAGTTGGTTTAAAAAACCATCGCTCTTTTTATAAGTTTAACCTATGGAAATATACACTTGGAAAAAAGTTAAGCACCCCCAAATATTTTTCAGGATTGCTTATTGAAAATAAG